ACAAAAAAAAAAAAAAAAAATCATTTTTCAATTTTTTAAAAGCATTTTTTTGTAAAAAACAGAAAAAAAATTGTAAAAACACAAAAAAAAAATATTTTTAATAAATATTTTCGTTATTTAAAAACTGAAAAAAATATTCTCGTTTTTGAATTTTTTTTTTCATTTTTTCAGCTTTATTAAAGCATTTCGTTTTCAGTTTTTTAAAGAAAAATATTTTGTTTTTAAAAAACTGGAATTTTTTTTCAAAAACGAAATATTTGTTGAAAATATTTTTTCAGTTTTTGAAAAAACAAATATATTTAAAAACATTTTTTTTCTGTTTTTACAAAAAAAATTCAGTTTTTACAAACAAAATGCTTTAAAAAAACTGAAAAAATAATTTTTTTTTGTTGTAAAAACTGAAAAAAGAAGAAGAAGACGACTTTACTAAATTAGTGGACTACTGGTGCATTAGTTTAAAAACGAAAATATTTTGTAAAATATTTTTTTTAAGTTTTACAAAAAGAATAATAATTAATTTAGTTCAGCATTGACTTAATCGCTACAAAAAGAATAATCGCTACCACTACCAATCACTACTAGCTACTAGCATGAACCACCACCATCAACCAAAACTACCACCAACCACCGTCTCTAGTCAGCATTCACCTGTTAGCCATCACCACCAACAACTATCATATTTTAAAAAACTATATATTTTATTGATAGAATATTAGATTAGTTAGTATTTCATTTGAATTTTATGTTTATTAATTTTCAAATAAAGATAACTTTTATACATTCAGATGTTAAAAATCAAACAGTCTTAATTATTTAGTATTCAGATCTTAATACACATCTTAATATATTCAGATTCAGATGTATTAATCTTAATACACATCTTGATATTGAGACATCTGAATATGAATATGTGCAAATTCTGATATTACTTTGACTTGTTTACTTTGACAAAGTGCCAATGATGTTTGTTAATGTACTTATATTGTATAGGTGGTTAAAACGTCTTTGAAAATCCAAGCATAAACCATTTATGGAGATGAAAAGATTTAGACATGTTTATTTCGTATTGGTTGGCGATAATATTGGACATCCACTAACTCACACAAATTAGAATCTTGCCCCTTTATTCAATTAATTAATTCTTTTTCCAGTTAGCCGGCAAGTTGATATATAATTGGAGAAACGTTATAATACTATTATTTGTAATGTTAAAAAAATTAGCATGTCTTTGCGTGTGACATTTTAAATTTAACATTATTATTTTACATTCTCTTTCCTAAGAGTGAGTCATGCTTTTGAAATTTGGAAACGTATTAACAATATACTAAGATCGATGGATAAAATAAAAGATTGATTTCTATCTATTGACATACTCACTGAAATTTGAATTATTTTAATAGAAAAGCTAAAATTTCAGTATCAGTATAATTTGACAAACTCTAATTATTGGTTACTAACCTTCATTTGTTTTCTTAAGTTTCTCTACCTTAAAAACTTACTCCTACCCAGTATTTAGACCAACTTAATAAATATGTGATACATATCTTCACATACATAATTAGAGGTGTGACATATCGCTCATGCCCCTTATGTGCTATAGTAGTCATGATTGGTTAATGACGATTCTCAACAGCATCTGTAAGATCTCGAGGCTTACTAGACGGAATTCGATCAAAAATGAAGCCTTACCCAAAGGCCTATAGCGCATAGGGGCATGCGTTGTAGGTACTCTTGTTTTCTTGTTCGCTCAAGGCGAATTGAGCGTTACTTTGGTTCCAAATTCGTTAGAGGCGAAGGCGAAATTTGAAGCTTATGGATGTGAGGTTCTAGATTTTTTAAGTTATTGGGTTCTAAATTAATAACTTATATATAATTTAGTGAATTTCTTAAGATAAATACAAAATTTAAACGAACACTACTGCATTCGACCTAGGGGTGTGCATTCGATTTATCGATTCGATTTTGACCCTTATCGATAATTACTTATCGATTATCGATTTGTACATATGCTTATCGTTATCGTTTCAATAAGGTTTCGATTTTTTCGATTTCGATTTATTGATTTTTGGGGCTTATCGATTCGGTTATCGATTACACCAATAAGAAAATTTGCGGGATTCCACGGAAATTATATCGCTATAAACACGTCAAACTAATATGGATAAAACGAAGCTAAAATAAGACGAACACCGTTTATAATATAAAAATTGTGTCAACTAGCACATGCAACGAAATTAAAGTAAGGGATCAAATGTATGCCACCAACACTCCAACGATATAAAAAAAAATATACATCATGACTGCTAATTTGAACTTCATTCCCTTGAGCTTTAAATATGATCATTCCTTAAATGTGGTAGAGAAAATAATAGGGTTAGGGACTTAAAGTAAAGAAAAGAGTATTATAGAATAAGGGTATAAAAAATTTTTGTCTTTTTAGTATATCTTATCGGTTTATCAATAAACCGATAACCGAAGAGGACGAAATCGAAATCGATAACTCAATAAGGAAAATTTCGAAATCGAAATCGATAAATCGATAAACTGATAACAAATAATCAATTCGATTTATCGATAAACCGATTCGAATGCACACCCCTAATTCGACCGGACTCTTAACTGAGGACTGACTTCGACCCCTATATATAGTTATCACTAAACCGTAGTTAATTAATATACATTCTCACCTCAATTTATCATATAAGTATGGATAAGTATTTACCAATGTGATTGTAGACAAATTTACACCATAGGTGGATATCTTTTTGGGAATGGATAAAACGTCAAACTCGAAAAAAACAAAGGGCAATAATGTTTCCACTGTCCGTACTGCTCGCAAAACCTCTTACCCCAATCTACAGTAAAGAGCTACAAAATCCAGCATAGGCAGAGAGAGAGAGAGAGAGAGCTGTAGAGAGTCGGAGAAAAACAGAGATGTGTAGATAGAAAAAAAAAACTTCTATCATACACATTTTATCAAACACCTTTCATACAATCTTTATTATAGTAAACGCGACTCTCCTATCCTAACATTAGTTATATATCTAGAGAAAAACAAACCACTTCTATCACACATTTTATCAAACATCTTTCGTACAGTCTTTATTTTTCTTAACGCGATAGTTATATATATATATATGTAGAGAGAGATCAAACCAATTCTATCATAGACATTTTATCAAACACCTTTCGTGCAATCTAACGCGACTATATATACATTACATACCCGGTAAATATGAAGTTTTTTGTTGAATTGGTGGCGTGCTGTGGCTGTAATTCATCTCGTGTGCGACAGGTTGAAGCAGAGGAGATGGGACCTCTTGTACCTGCAGCTGCTGAAACGTCGTCTGATGATAACAATAATAATAGTAATAAAATTGTTATGTATAAAAGGAGGAAGAGAGGGAGAAGAGTGAGAGCGAGATCTGCTGGTTCATTTCCTGATTGGAAACCGTCTCTTTCGTCTATATCAGAAGATCATGATGCTTTGCCTACAAGAATGGCTGTTAATTCCAACAGGAATCTGAAGAAGAACGCAACTGCTTCTCGTCATCATCATCGTGATAAAGTCAGGTACTTCCTCGTTTCATTTTATGTATTGAGTTTAGTAATGTAGGAAAAGCTTTTGATCTTGCAAGATGAAGCTAAAGTGTGCATATAGAGGCACACATCTGGGTTCTGAATTCGTCACAGAATTCATAGCTCGTCTTAGTTCGCAATCAAGTATTTATATATATTTAATAAATTTTTTAATACAAATATAAAGTCTAAGCAAAAGTTATTGATTCGGCCGAGTATAAAAAAGGCTAGCTTCCCCCGAGGCACATTAATGATTTAAAGTTTATGGGTTCCTACAATAGTAATTGAATTCACTAGGGGTATACAAATCGTACCGGAAAATCGCACCAAACCGAAAAGTCAAACCAAACCGGTTAAAAACCCGACTAGATTTGGTTTGGTATTGAGTAAAAACATCCGAACCAAACCGACATATAAATATATAATTTTTATATATACTTTTAAGATTTTATATAGAATTTTCTTTAAAAAATGTCTAGAAATATTTGGGATTATCTTGCGGGATATAATATTTAATAGTATATGAAGTGCTCCATATTTATTAACCTTAAATAATGGGTTGTATGATCATTTTCTCGTCCACTGTTATTGAAATGCGTCAATCTCTTTGTTCTTCCATATTCGTATCATATATATTAAGATCTACTAAACTGTTATATCTTTTTCGAATGTAAAGTGATTATTATTATTATTTAGGTATCATATTGATTTTTGTGTTTAATTACTAAATTCGGTTAACCTTGAAAGTGTACATCAACGAAACATTATTGTCATACGATTAAAAAAATACACTATTATGTGTTACTAAGAAAATTCTCTCATAAGAATATTTTAGATAATATATTTGTCAATTTTTTATATTTTTACTAAACATATATTTACTTATAAAAAATTTAACAAAGTAAGATTGAAATAATATTTAGTAACAATAAACCCGAAAAAGCCGAAAAATCCGACAAAACCGAACCAATCCAAACCGATATAATTAGTTTGGTTTGGTTTTGATAAAAACCGAACCAACCCGGTCCAAGTACACCCCTAGAATTCACAGTAAAATATTTATAGAGATTTTAGAAACATCTTATTATATATATACAGGATCTGGGCAATGTGCCGACTGCCCGTAGTCAATACTGTGGATCTGCCAGTGTGTGCATAACAGATCAAAAACATCGACGAATGTAGCGTTACTACATCAAGTTCATCTCGTTCCAGTATTTTTTATGCGAAGAAAAGATTTGTGTAAAAGTCCACAAATATTGCAACAAATATGTAGATATAAATCTATAATTTAAAAAATATAATAAATTCAATACTAAGAACCTCAATAGTTAAAGCTATAAAGCTTAAAATGGATCCCCCTCTATTTGGCTATGTGAATTCAACTAAATATCATATTGAAAAACAAAATATATATACACATAATAAGATCCCGCTTTTTTTTTTTTTAACTAATTCGTTTCCATTTGGCTAAATCTTGCTTCCTCTTTGAAAATTCGGATTCAGAATTTCTTTTCTTTTTCCTTTTATGCATGTTTTTTCTTTTAAATTTTTTTATTAATTACTGCTTATGCGGATAAATATACATGTTCGCTTGGTCATAAAAACTACTCCCTTCGTCTCAGCGCTTAAAATACAAGGTCCAAGTATTGTGAAATTAGATACTATTCCTGTTAGATTTAATCAAACAAATTTTCCTAAAGAAATTTTATAAACAAATTTCCTAAAGAAATTTTATATATGTAAGAGCTACGTAAATTATTACTGAGTTAGTATAAATTTTTAATAAAAATGTTTATTCAAATGTTTAAAAGTTCATATCAATTTAAATGTTTAAAAGTTTCAAAAGTTTCCTCTTAAATTTCGTGTCAAGTCAAACTACGTCTACATAAATTAAAACACAGGAAGTATCATAATAAAGAGTACATTATTCCTAAGTGGGTTCATTCAGTTCGAATGGAAATTAATCACATCAATGAATTTCGGATACCAAATTACAACGTTGACACTACACATTTCTGCATACTTCTTCGTGTTTTTTTTTTACCCTTGCCCCGGAGCTCCCTATTTTTGACTTTACTCCTTGGGTGACTCAAACCCGCAATCTCACGATTGAAGGTGGAGGGTGCTTATCACTTGAGCAACCCTTTTTTGTTACTTTTCGAACCCGCAATCTCTAAATTGAAGGTCGAGGGTGCTTACCACTTGAGCAACTCTCTCTTGTCACTTTTTTTTTCCTGCTTTCATTGATTTATGCCTTAATTGTCTTATTTTCTTGTTGTTTTTGCCTGTTCTACAGGATAGCTTGCTTTTCTGGAATGGGTCCAGCATTTGCTCCCACTCCTTTCTTGATTTGATATTGGGACTAATCCAAATTACCCTCATGCCCTCTTTTGTTTTGTAAATTTAAACTCTGTCTATCGTGTAAAGTTTTTTTTTTCTTTTTTCTTTTTTCATTTCTCTTCAATTTCCATTATGTTCTCTCTCCCTATCTGTATTAATACAAGGACTGTAATATTTGTAAAAACGAAAAAGAAACAAAAAACACTCCAAAACTACATTAAGTATATATGGATAAACTTATTGAGAATGTTTGTTTAATAATGGAATTTGTCCCTTCGCCTATAGACGGCGGCTTGGCTTTGCAATCGCTCAAAACTTGGTATAGAATCGTGTAGTCATTTGTTTTTACCATCAGAATGCCTATGAGATAGTGATCGGCCTTTATAAAACTTGCTAAGCCTCATTTCCTTCTCCCTTTCTCTTATCAAGCGGAAAACGATGCGACCTTGCTTAAACACAAAAGATACTTTGTGATGTATGGAATATAAGTTAACATGTTTTCTATGGCGACTAATTTGTTGTTTTCCACTCGGTATTCGAAACTCGCTTTGAGGCTTGACTAATCCAGACTTGTTCGGAGAATTTCAGATAATAGAACTATACAACTAAGTAGCAAAGAAGAAACAAAATGTTGAGAGAGACTAGACTGGGACTTTAACAATACAACAAAAATAATTACGCTTCATTCCCAAATTGTTGAGGTAGGACCTCGACAATAAACTAAATAAAATTGACAGAAGAAGGGCAATTGTATACGAGTTCAACGAATGCTACTTGTTAATGTATTTGGAAAGTATCATACTATATAAGACCTAAGTTCCAAAAGCTAATCCATATCTATTTATATCTATACTATATTAAAAGCACGAAGGCCCCCGAAATGTCGTTCGCATTTTTCATCCTTTAAGAGTATATTTTATATTGGACAGAGTAGTAATTTTAGTTATTTTTCTAATATATAGGAATGGCCATTAATTATTTTTCTAATATTTAGGGACAATCATTTAATTTATAACCTAATATATAGGACTTTGATATGGAAAATCATATAATTATCTTTTTGTTGTAAAATTTTTTTGTTTAAGAGTCCTTGACGAGCTTTTTTTTTTTTTGTTAAAAAGTTTTAGGTTTAGTATTGTTTATCTTCTTTTTCTTTTTCAGAACTCCTTTCCTTCGTATAATTTATGTAATTTGATTATACAATGAGCTACAATAATTTATTCTTTTTCTGATCTATTGAAAATAATTCATATAATATTTATTATTAATTAAAAAATATAAATTGAATTTTATTCTTGAAAAAAATTACTTTGTGTCTACTAAAATGAACAAGGGAATAACTTTTCAAAAAAAAATCAAAAAATTATTAAGTTTTGAAGGATTATATGTGACTGCTGAAATTGAAAAGATGCACGATAACTTATGAATCTAAAGCGATTGAATTAACTATTAAAATAAATTTTTAGTTGAATATATTGATTGATGATTGAGAACTTGTATGAAGATTAATAATTTTAGAAAAAATTAACTTTTACTTTATTACTCAAATATAATATTTATATATATTATTTGTATAGTATTTTTAAAATTCTTTCTAATTGAGATAATGTACACCTGCAAAGCACATATCATAAGACTAGTTCATATAAAATGATATGAAGGGAGTAATATGGAATATTCTCTTCCAAAAAAGATAAGAAAAAAAAGAGAAATGTATATTCTTAAATCTAATCGACTTATATCTTTAAATCTATAAAAAGATGTTTCGACTTATATTCCTACTAATGTAATTTTCAGATCGACAAATCTCACCCTTGGGGCTTCCTATTTGATTGTATCAAAAGGCCCAATGAATTAGCATTTAAATTTGCAATATTTTATAGGAAATATATTTTGGCTAGTGAATGAAATCAGTTTTGATCGGTCCGCCATTTTGTTTGCAAAAAAAAAAAAAAAAAAAAAAAAAAAAAAAAAATAAATAAATAAAATAAAATAAAAGAAGAGAGAATTTCTTGAATTATTTTGGCAACATGGAAGCTAAAACTGGGCCGGGTCAAGCCGTCGAGGGTCCAATAAAATTGGATTGGAAGATTCCAGACAAAGAAATTACTGTAGAAAACTGCTGCTTCAAACTCTATCCTCATCGTCTATTGTGAAAGCTTTCTTCTGTGAAGCAAATGGCGACAATGGCAGCTCTGCAGAGCTCGTTTACATCTCTTTCGATCTCCTCCAACTCATTCTTGGGCCAACCTTTTTCTCCTCCTCTCTGCCCTCCTCTGGTACTATTCTTTACTTACTACTCTTTTAAAATTCTTCAACATAAATATTTCTTTAATATTTTGTTTCTCATGAGGTTCGTCAAGTAATATGATGAGTACATTTGTGTTAATGGTTGTTTAATTCTCATAAGACCCGGTGCATGTTATTTAGCTGGAATTATCCCGACTGACCCAGTAAAGAATAATTTATGACCATCATATTCTTGCAATTGGTAACCCCCCCCCCCCCCCAACCCCCCCCCAAAAAAAAATGAAGTACCAATTTATGTGGCACACTTCCCGTTTTAGTTTGTCTAAAAAAGAACACACCTTTCTATATCTAAAAGTAATTTAATTTTAAACTTTTTCTTTTATTCTTAATGAGATGATTAATTGCTAAACAAATATCGATGACTTATTTTAGACCACAAGTTTTAAAAATATGTCTTGTATCTTTCTTTCTTTAGTTATGTGCCTAGTTAAACAAGGCCACATAAATTGGGATGGCGGAAGTAGATGATAGGAGGCCTATGGTGGCAGAAACTATAAACACTGAGGTGCATTTGGTATGAAGGAAGATGTTTTACATGGAAAATATTTATCCTTGGGAAGTCATTTTCTGAATCATTTTTCCAGTTTGCGTATAAAAGTAGGTGACATATATATTTATTTTACACGGTGTAGGATAGAGTATTATTTGTGCTGCTTTTACATGGCTTCTCACTGGTGCGCTTCTTGTTTTTCTCTTCTTTAACGTGGTGCTTATGCTTCTCTGAGTCGAGCGTCTATTGGAAACAGTCTCTCTATCTCCACAAGATAGGGGTAAGGCTGTGTACACACTATCCTCCCCAGACCCCACTATGTGGGATTATACTGGGGTTGTGTTGTTTGTTTGTTTGGTGTAGGATAGAGTATGAAGATTTTGTTTTGGTCATATTAATGAGTGCTAAAGGTTAATAACAATGTCTAGGTATTTTTAAAACATGTGAGATTAATTACAAGTTGAAAATTTCGTGAAAGGAAAATAATTCCCCAGGGATTTGGTTCTGTGACAAGGTAGTACAACGTGATGTGTGATAGACATGCATCATACTTCAGGGGTTCGGATTCTGACTAGTGAATGAAATGTCGGTTTTAAGTGGAGAAGGGTAGAGAGATAGACGCATTATTCGTCGAGTTTTAATATAACTTATAAGTCATTTCCTCATATCTGTGGAAAAGATTTTCCTTGAGGCAAACATTATCAGATTTAAGGCACTGAAATGCTTGAAAACATTTTCATACCAAACACCAACTAGGCTATGGAAGAGATTAGTGCAGGCTTAGATCCAAGATTCTTAGTCAGCAGGTGAGAAATACCACTGCACTTATAAATACTACTGTGTGATAATGGATTTGAACTTAGTGTGTGTGTCCGGGTGTATTTTAAATTGCTTAATTGATGTAAGGTTCTAGTTGAGGGTGGTGCGACTGTGATACAAGTGATACCACATCTTCCCTGGGGTTACTGTCAGTTTCAGGGATTACTTTTAATGTAGTTCATTCTATATGGTTTGATACGTTTATTTGTGAGTTTAAAATGAACTGTCTTTGTTTCGATCTTACTCGCATCAGCTTAATATAAAGGAAGACATGCCTGTTGAAAAATTGATTTCTACCTGTAGATAGGAATTGTGGCCAAATCCTTGATCATTTTAGAGGCTTTCAATGTGTCAAGTTCCGATTATGATCAATCTGTTGTTCAACATAATTGAACAAATAGCTTGGTGAAGCAAAAAAGCTGCATTCTTTGTTTAGCATGTAAAGACATCTAATTTTCCTACTATAAATCCTGCTCTTTCATCTTCAACTAGTGGTCTATTAGGCAAGTGTTCACTGTCCTATAATCACTTACTTTTTCTGCTGAAAGATGCAATATTCTTCAAGCTTTCTGGTTTGCTTCTTGAAATGCGGAAAGTTACTGGTAGATACTTGAACAGAACAAGCACTGGTATCCTTAAAGTTGGCGATGTACAGCACTTCTTGAGCATGCAGTACCAGAAATGCTGATAAGGCTGCTTTACTCATTACTACTAACTGGTATCATTATTTTAATAAATCTGAATGAGTAGTCGAAGGGAACATATTCAATGGGAAAATTGATACTCCGAAATTGCATCATAATGAGAGGAATTTTTGCATAGTTGAATAGCTCATATCTCAGGGTTTTTGCCCTATGTATGCTAGTGCCAATGTCATTCAACTCATCTTTTGTATCGAAGAGACGAAGATAACTTTAGCTATCTCTCAGTTCTTATCAGGGAGTTAGGTACTCCTCGATCCTCCCTCAAATCATTGTACTCTTATTTCGAAAGATGAATAAAATGCCTATTATCGATATCTGAATTTCCTCTTCAGAGTATGGACATGCTGTCGTAAGGTTGATGCTCCGTATGCAACTATTTACTGGTCCTCTTTTATTATCCTGCTTTACATGAGTTGTCTTTTTCACGCGTCAAACTGCAACAAGATAAATTTTTTTTTTTTAATTAATGACAGTTTCTAAATGGTATTTTGCAGGTCAAATCAACACAAAGTCCAGGTTCCATTGTAGCCAAGGTTGGCATCTTAGATCCATTTGGTTTTTTTACTGTCCATACTCTGTATAACCAAAGAGAAGATTTTCCATAACAAGGAATTTTACTGTGTAAAAACAATCTTCATTTTCATTTCTTCTGCAGCTTAAGCGATGGGAACGGAAAAAGTGTAAGCCAAACAGCCTTCCGGTGCTACACAAAATGCATGTGAAATTGGGAGATACAGTAAAAGTGATATCCGGGCACGATAAAGGTAAGGTTGGAGAGATCACTGAGATTATCAAGCACAACAGCAAAGTTGTCGTAAGCGAGATAAACTTGAAAACGAAGCATGTGAAGAGTAGGGATGAGAATGAACCGGGCCAAATAATCAAGGTTTTTGATTTCTTTCCTTCTCTCTTTCCAAGTTGCCTAAAAGTTAATCTCAAGTTTCTCTTTTATAATGGCTGGGGGCGGAGCTAGAAGC